ATCTCATCTCTTCTCATCTCATCTCATCTCATCTCATCTCATCTCATCTCCCTCTTCTCCCATCCTCCTGCCCCACACAGGATTTTCATCTTTGCCGATCCAGAGCTGCTCTCTGAAGCCATCTGCAATGCGCTGGTCACCGACACGGAGGCAGCTCAGGTGTCCCAGAGTCCCCGGGTGTGCATGTGCTACGTGATCATCCATGCCATGCAGGCAGCCCTGGGCGAGGACTGCAACGTCAGCGGCTTGAAGGCAAGCCTCCAGGTAACTGGCAGTGTTTCTGCAGCACCATGTACTGTTTTCCAATGGTCCTGCTCTTGCCAGGCACCTCAGAAGATTTTTCAGGCAAATGGAAAGACACACTCCCCCCTGACTCCTCACTGCTCACCTCCATCCTCGGTAGCCTCAGTGTTACTTGCAAGGCTGGGCTGTTAAACCAAAAAAAAAATCTTCAAATATAAGAGTTGCTACAGCAGGAGCCAGAGGTTTTGAATCTTCACATTGAGTCTTCAGTTTTGCACAGCAAAGGTGGGCTCGGTGGCTGACGTGTAGGCTCCTCTGTGAACCACTGGTCGTTGCAAACACAGCAGAAATTTTTCAACCAATTTTCTCAAAAACCTTCTTCAAAGAGCTGTGGGGCTGCAGTAAGAAAAATGTCTGGTTTGAAAACGCAACTTTGCAGGGGCTCTCAGTGACACCTTTGTGTGTCTACTGTTTCCATCTCCTGAGGGTCACTTGAGCTGCCAGCTCTGCTGCTGACTCCCCAAGCTCGTGGCAGCCAGGAGCACAGTGCCCATCAGCTGCAAACCTGCCAGAAAAAAGCCTTAAGCAGGCAGTGCAGTCAGCATCTCTCCTCCTCCAGCCTCGCCAGGGGACAGGAGGTCATTTTTGTCCTTTACTGCAGAACAACGATTTTTGCAGGACTCATTTGCCATCTTTCTGCCCTTTCCCCGTGCCCTGAAAGAGCGTCTCCTCTTTTCACAACTCTGGGTGTTAACAGCTGCTCCTCACAACAGGATATGCCCACAAGCGAGGTGGAGCACTGGTTCCGGCAAGTGGTGGTGGCAGTCGAGTGTGCAGGGAGCGAGGCGAGCACAGACCGTGGCCAGCACACCGCGAGGCTGGAGAAGATCTACCGTGCCGTGCTCAGCCCTCTGCAAGCAGGTGAGCTCGCAGCCAGACACGCACGGTGTGTTAAGGGAGCCATGCAGTACCCCTGTCTCACTGCCCTGTCCTCGTCATTGCCCTCCTACAGCTGTCCATCCCCACCTTCCATCTGCCTCCACGTTAGCAGCATCCATCACTGGGATCAGGGCCTTGCAGCCTGGCTCCTTGCAGTGAGCTGATGTCCAGGATGGCAAACTGCATGCATGTGGCAGTGGAAGGCAGATCTGTCGCCTGAGCAAAGGGACGGTGGCAATCTCTCCTGGTCAGTGTGCTCTGAGGCCTAGAGGTCTGTCACTTGCAAAGGGTGCCATAGATGTCAACCGGGGGAGGTGGACAGAGTCTCTAGTGCTCCGCTGGTGTAAGATGCGTCCTGCCCTGGCCTAGGCTGGGGAGACACTGTACCACTCCCTGGAACCTCCTTGTGCGGATGTGGTGGACTGTAGTACTTCCACCCCTGGCAGTGCTACACAGACTAAAACAAGCATCCCCTTAAATCACAGCTCCTCACACAAACCTGGGGTAGACCAGAGAGAAATGGGAGTCATGTTTCCCTCTTCCTCACTACTTCTGGTGGAAGGTCCCTGCATCCCAACCCCCACCCTGGAAAGAACTGGAGGCTGTCCCAGTGCAAGATATGGGGAGGAACAGCCAGTGGTGCAGGGACAGGAGTGGGATCATCTCCTTTTGGTAGCAATGAGCTATTAAATTGTCTCACTGCTTCTCACAGAGCCATAATTATTTAAAAATAACCAGCGATAGTGGGGTCAGAGGGCTCCTGTGCATCTCAGCTGAGGTCTCCGAGGGAGGTCCTGCCACGTGCGTCAGAGACCCAGTGCTAGAGGAATGCTGTATTTATTCTGCAATCCCTCTTCCGTCTGCAGCAAAGCAAGGTCCTGCACTTGCCCACGCCTCAGTTTCCCATTTTCATTTCTCCCTTCCACTGACAGTGTAGGCACCTTGCTATGGCTTAATCTGTGAGAGCAGAGGCCTGTGATTACAGCCTCCCGTCTGGACAGAAGGCAACCAGGGTGGGAGAGCCCCTGGGGCTCAGCACGGGCTGTCTCAGCCAGTGTCTGAAGTACAGCACCAGTGGGGGTTCATGCACCCCTGTGGGAAAACTGTCTGCTCCTGTCTGTTCCAAGCATCCTTGTTTCCCCCAGGCGATGCTCCTCTGGGAGGACTGCAGGGTACCCCTCTGCCCAACCCCAGCATCAGCTTTCACCTCTGGACAGAAGACGACCAGCTCTGTGAGTGCCCTGGGGGGGCTGTGGTGAGTTCGGACAGTGCCTGAGGCTGGGAAGCCTGTGCAAACAAAACATGTCATTTAGCCCTGATTCTGGAGCAGTGAGTTCCATAACCATCACCCAGGGGCCAAGCTCATGGTGGCTTGTGCTGACTGCACCAGCCTTCCTTTTTGTGGGGTGGCAGGGTCAGATCAGGAGACAGGGTGGGGAGAGGGGTGAAGGAGATGAGGAGAGGACCCTGTGGGACAGGCTGCAGCAGCTTGTGGTCAAAGTACCTGATTTGAATGATATTGAGCTTTCTTCATGGTGCAGTGAGAAAGGGGACTGAAAGACTGACTCCTCTTGGATCTGCTGGTGGAGGTATTGGCCCTATGGTTTGCATGAGAAGAGGGGAGCTGGGGTAATTACAGGGCTTAGCCTGGTTTTGCTTGTGTTTCCCTCCTCAAGCTCCCCTCTGCCTGCAGGGAAGGAGTTGGTCCTGTTCATCCGCCCGCTGGCACAGAGCTGTGAGCCTTACTGCCTAAGCCAGGACCTGGACAACTTCGAGATCCAGGACATCATTTCGGACTGTGAGTGCTGTGAGCAGACCCGCTTCTCCGTGCTCTCCACTGACAGTGGCATTGAACGCGACCTGCCCACGGCAATCGAGGAGCCCTTTGTCCCTTGCAGCACTGAAACGGAGCAATCCCGGCTCCACAGGAAGGGTGGCATTAAAAAAAAGCTGTCGCCACTGGAGAGTGTGGCCTTCCTGCAGGCTGGCTGCAACGGTCCCGGGGCCAAGTCCCCAGTGAAGCTGCAGAGGAGACCGGGCATCCCTCCGGAGCCTGCGGCCCCGCTCCAGCGGCTGCACACTGCCCGCATCGTGGTGCTGGGGGACGACCGGATCCTGGGGCGCCTGGCCCAAGCCTACCACTCTTTGAGGTAACCAGTGGCCACAGCTCTGGGGACTTGGGGAAAGGGAGGATGGAGTGGGGGCTTTGCTCTTCAGCCTGTTGAAGCAGCCGAGATGGCTGGGGATGGGGTTGGGCCCCAGCGTTGCCTGGGACCCAGGTGTTTTGCACCCAAAGGCATCGTTTCACTGCATGGCATCGTTTGGCTGTGTTGTCCCAAATGACACAAACAGAGAGTTTTTCCCTTCTGTCCATGGAATGGGTTGCATGAACAATAAACAAAGCAAGACCTTTTCCTATGCAAAAGGGAAAAATCCTAAAGAAAAGCTGTTTTCGGCTGGCTCCTTTAGCTGGGTCAGCAGGTCCAGGGGAGCAGCGTGGGGGGGGTCTGGGTCGCGGGGCAGGCGGAAGGTCAGGGGGAGCAGCGTGGGGTGGGTCTGGGTCGCGGTGCAGGCAGCAGCCTGGGAAGCAGAGCTGGGTGCAGAGGGGACCACCACTCCCAGCCAAGAGCCTGTCTGGGGGATGGCCCTTACCCCCATCATCTCCCTTCGCTTGATTGGGAACCCGGGGCATTACTGCCATCCTGTCACTCTGGGCACAGGAGGCGTGCGAGGAAGGCATGTGCTCTTCCTGCAGAGAAGCTCTGGTCTCCTGGCACTGCCCGGCCTTGGCCGAGAGCCATGTTCTTCCACCTTCCCCTTGTGACATGGCTATTTATTTTTCCATTTCAAGGAAACGAGAAACACGTCGAGTTTTCCTGACTCCCAGGCTGAACCTGCAGTTCTACCACATCCCAGTCGTGACGGGGCAGTCAAACCCCTCGGCTGTTTCGGTGAGTCTGGACACTTCTGCCGGCTGCCAGCAACTGACAGTGTTTATGGAGGAAGAAGAGCACGGGGCTTTACAGGAATTCACATCCGTTAATGCCCTATTCCTAGACCAAGGAGGATGGGAGCCAAGACAGGGTTTTGTTTGCAGACTGGTTTTGGGAATCCATCACCCCAGAGACACTCAGGTTGCTCCAACCACACACGGGTGATAACTCACAGCCTAGACATGGTATTCCATTTTGCTTCTATGCCGCAGCTGTAGGGCGATGGAGGGAGCTTTAGCAAAGGCAGATGCTTTTCTCACCTCCCAAATACTTAGGGGAAGCGGTTGCACCTTACTGACGGCTTTGCCTGCTTGGTCATTGCCCCGGTTCTTGTTCTGCAAATCACTACCTTGCAGTTTATCTTGGGCACATCTCCTCCGACAGCCTCAAGACAGCAATAAATAAACAGTTGCACTTCTCAAAATATTTTAAGCTGACCCAGAGCTGGCTGTGAATCCTGACAGACATGCTATTATAAAAATGAGTATTTCTTCTTTTCATTCCTCACTTTGTTTGTGTTCTTGAGCACATGCGAAATGAGTGCTGCAAGAAATGTTTTGCCATCCTCTCTGGACCAAGCAGGGAAGGGGGAGGGATTGGGGAGCTGCTCACAGGGCATTTGTGCCCCAGCTCCCTCTGTCTCCTCTATGTCTTCGGATATTTTGAGCCATGATGGTGCTCTGAGCTATGTGTTTCTCCTGCAGGACCACGCTGCCAGTGGCCAGGAGGAGCTCTGCGAGGTGGCCGGGTACCTGAGCAGAGCTGACCCATGGTACGAGAGCAACATCAACGCACTGTGCCACGTGATTCCCAAGCTGGCCGCCATGGTACGAGGAAAACTGTCTCACCTCCCCAGCCTGACCCATTTCCCAGACACATCTGTTGGACCGGTGGATGAGCTCTGTCTTGCAGGGCTCCTCCATGCCCCAGATGGAGCTTTTCTTCCTACAAACCCTCCCCAGGGCCTGGCCACCGGGAAGGTGCGTGTGGCAGGCTGCCCCAGCCCACAAGCCCCTTTTGGGGTGATGGGATTTTTTGGCCGAGGGGCAGGAAATGGCAGATTTCAAGATAATGTAAATGAGGCATTTGCTGAAATACCCCTGGCTTTCATTTCCTGGCAGTTTGAGCTACCAGCCCACAGAAAAGGCTGGTAGGTTGGTGCAAGGCTGTGAAAACATACATTGTCTTCTGTCCTCCCATTCGCTTTGGCTAGTTACTCAGAGCAGCTTAGCGCTGCCTTGGGCGACAGCTCATTCTCATTATTTATCTAGGAAAGCGTGAGGGTTTGTGGCAGTGTTTTTGAGAAGTGACTGTGGCTGATCCATAATGTGATTTGCCCCCCCAGCCTTCCTCTCCGAGCAAACACCTTGTGACTGATCTGTTCATCACTGATGTGATTGCTTACTACGTTCGCATGGGCATCCAGCCCGTCTGCTTCCAGGTCTACGCGGTGAAGGTGGGTGACAAATCCCTTGTGCCTTCATGTAGCCCTGCAAGGGCTTGCAGAGCCCCACTGCTGGCAGGGCTGTGCAAAGTCAGCGGGGCCTGGGGGCTTTCAGCAGATTTGAGGCTGGATCTCTCTGCTCCCCAGCCTGTCCCCTCCTTGCCAGGCCCCCGGATCTAGCTACTCCGTGTAGCACAGTTCAGTCCAAGGCAATGAGCCTGGGAAGGCTATTTCAGGATCGTACAGGTCAGCAAAGTGAGCCTGTCCTGTAAGGACACAGATTTCCTGCTTGGCTGGACTGGGGTTTCTTCAGGAGCCCTGGCGCCTTCTGCTGCTTTAGATGCTGTGAGCAAAGGGGATTTTACTGAGTGGCTTTGCCAAAACTTTCCTGTACCTTGCAGGGGCTTTGCAGGGCTTCCTGAAACCCCACTTTATTTATTTCCTGCCAGCTTTCCTCTGAAATGGTATCAGGGTGAGACCTGGCATTTGACGAGAGAGCAAAGAACCACTGTATTCGGTCATGTAACATCAGCCTGCCACCTGCTCCTCTGGCATTTCTCCCCTCCAAAGCTTAGGGTGTCACTGATGCATGTCTCCCCTTTCAGTCTACCCGTAGCCAATGTGGAAACCTACTGCAGCAAAGGGGCAGCCATTGCATGAACAAGCTGGCATGTGGCCTGCAAAGAGCTGGAAGAGCTTTGGTAATTACTGGTAGAGCATCAGCAGGAGTTGAACTAAGAACATGCAGCCTGGTCTTCAGTCTCTGTGGCTGGGGATTTGTTTTTTTATGGTGGATTTTTGTTCCACTCATTTCTCTTCCAAGACAAAAATCAAAAGCAAGCGAGAGAGGGGGTGACTCAAGCAGGGGAAGAGGAACTGACTCCAGATGTGGTTTTCAGATAGAGGCACCTAACCTACCCTGTTGTCATACAGGGTGTGATGCTGCTTCATCTGGAAACATTAAGCCTGTTTTCCCTTTTTGGTTAAGACCTCACTGTTCCTCTTTGGCTGCAGAGAGTTTCCTGGAAGTAAGGGCCAAGTCCCACAGCAGTGGAAAGCAGGGATAGGAGTGGCTAGGAGAGGTGCTCCAGCACCTTCACATTTTGCTCAAAACAAGCCCATGAAAAGACAATAATCAATAGGTTTGACGTGCCCGGTTGTTTTTGGTGTGTCAGATAGAAATTAGGTGCCTTGAAGCTAAGGCAGCGTCTGCGGTCAGGCCTGGGAAGCTGCTCCTGGGCTGCCTGCGGGCGGCTGGCTGGGAGCAGGCTCACGGGTGGGCGCGCAGTGACACCCCGTGGCAGGGGACACTGCCTGCGGCTCTGCTGGCCAGGTCCCCCGGCCTCCTGGCAGGGCCTGCGTGCTCCTGGGGCTCAGGAAGCAGGGCGAAACCAGTTCTTTCCATCCCATAGGAGCCCTGGCTGCTGTGATGAGGTCAGATTCCCTCTGCTGATGCCACACCTGAGTGCTCTGGAGATGTCGCAAGCCCTGCGTGACACCACAGGGTGACTGAGGAGAAGCTGTTCTTAGGGATTTTCCTCTCTTTCAGATTTTCTTCAATGACGTGGGGCAGGAGCCAGCCGAGGACGTGTTCCTCACGGAGCTGCGCACCCAAGTGCAGGAGAGCATCTCCCACAGAGGTGTGTGTGTCCCCCTGAGTTGAGCCCTGCAGCTGGGCAGGGGTCCTGCTGGCCCCGCTTCCCACTCGCCCTTGTCCCTCAGCCTGCAGCAGCCAAGGCCACGCCATGGAGCAATATCCCCTGTTCCCTGACGAGCAGGAGGCTTCCCTAAACATCTACATCCCACTCTTGAGCTCATGACACCAGGCTAAATGAGGGACCTTGTGGTCACTGGCTCCTGGCCTCGACCATGTTTTGTAGACTGTGCCTTTGGTTGGCTCCAGGACCCTCCAAAGTTGGACCAGCACCCTATTTTTGCTGAGGAAACAAGCTGGGCTTTACAGCCACCTCCTTTGCCAGATGTTTTCCCTATTAGAAATTCAGCTTCCTTGAGTTGCCGGTGATGGGACAAGGGTGCTTGAAGGCTGAAGCGTTAGAGAGGTCACATCCAGCCCCTCTCTCAGTGCACCCCAGTGTCTGACCCAGTGGGTGTTTGCCATTGTGATTGGGCACGGACCCTCAAGTGAGAGTCTCACTGGCCCTGTTGAGTACACAGAGCCTCAGTTCCCGCCGGCAAGGAGAGAAGGGCTGCTGTACGACAGAGCAGGTGGCTCGTCCCATGGGAGGACCCCTCTCTGCTGACCACAAACAAGTGGGCTGAATGAAACCTCCATCCCACCCGCTTCCCTCCTTGCAGAGTTAAGCACGACCAAGAAGAAAGCGACCCTGGATGGCCCTGGCATAGATCTCACAGTAACATACACAAAGGTAAGTGGGGCTCTCAGCAGCCCAAAGTGTGTCTGCTCACAGGGATCCCCAGCATGGCACAGATCTCCTAAAAGGATTGCTCTGGCCCTCCCTATTTCCTCCAGAATTGCACTCCAGGAGATGACAGAGGGGTCGTGGTGAACTTTAAAAACCTGTTAACTAATGTTACGTTTGTGAAAAACTGCCCCGAGGCTGCTCCATGTCTAAGCTCTCTGTCAGGGTGAATTAACGGAGTCTTTCCTGCAGGTCGTGGTGAGCGAGCGGGCGAAGGAGCTGGCTATGTCCCTGCGCTCCACAGGTCTGGTGATGAAAGCCATCCCTGCCAATGAGGCTGAAGGTGGGTTCTTCCTGCTGGGAACCATGTGAAGAGGGTTTGCTGAGTTTTCTGGTGGTGGACAGAGTAAATCTGACCATGGTACTTAGTGCCAATTTTGCCTGGGCTGTGGCAGTTCAATCAGTGACAGGCATATACTGGTGTCACCACGTTCTGTGGTTGTGCATTTTCTAGAGAATGGTGAGCCTGAGGCTCCCTGTAGTGTGAGGTTCAGCATAACCATAATCTAGGCTTGGCAGTGTCTTCCACTTGCTGCAGCCTTCCTCTTTCACCTTGCCCTCACCATAGCCTCTGAGGTTTCCACCCTGAGCATGATCCTACGCAAACCCTCAGGCCATGGAGCTTGCCTAGGACACTCCTGTTCTGCTGTCCTCTGTCTTCCATGGACCTCTGGCAGTGCACCCAAACGTGGATCTGGCACCAGCCCCCTGTAAGCTGAGCTGAGATCGTGCCATGGTCTAAGGCTAACATGCTGCTTCTGTTGCAGACGTGGTGTGTCTGAATGTGAACATCACTGAAATCGTTAGGACCAACAACTTGTCAGGACGATCGTTCTCAGTAAGTAGCTATGGATGCTCACGGCCCTGGTGGGGTCAGGCCAATGCATGGAAATCCCTTACGACAACAGTGAAAGGGGAAACCCTCTGTGGGGAGGAGAAGGCTTTGGGGCCACCCTGCTCAGAGAGTGTTTTGCAATTACTTTGCCTAGCAAAGTCTAGATTTTTGAGCCAAAACCCCAGATGCCATCCCTGCTGGTCAGTCCCCCACTGAATCCTGTCTCAGGAGACCCTGAAGCACTGAGCTACTGCTGGAGTTGTTCTGTGACCCCAGGGACCAAGTGGAGAAATGAAACTTAGCCCCAGTCACCCTGGCTCCAGTTGGGTACAGAGGGGTGTCTGTAGTATGGCGATCAACTCCATTAGTTCCACACCTCCAGCTGCAGTGCCCTCCCCACACCTCCTTTGGGCCCTGGAGCCTCCAGTCTCTCCACTGGTACTTTTAGCTAGCCAGCACACTTGTGCTTATCTTCACCTGGCTTGGAAACACTAGGGTACTGCAGCCCTGGAGAACAGACCTTGCCCCACATCAGACATCCCAGACCTCCAAACTGTGCAAGCACTGCCAGTTTGGAAAGTTTGGCCTTGCAAAATGTGACCAGGTTGTGATCACAGAAAAAGGACGAGGGAGACGCTTCCCTCCTTAAGGAAGTCATCTTGTGTCACATCCGAGGTTAAAAAAAAAAAGAGAAATGTTATCGTTTGTCCCTTTCATACCCAGTATGCACACACCACACATCACCACGCAGGCAAGGAAAGGGGACTGAGACTCTGGGGCTCTTCCTCTTCTCTCAATCCAGGCTGTGGCAAACAAGTTGAAAACACGCAATATCAAAATCAGGAGCACAGAGCAGAGGCCCTTCACAGTGTGTCTGGACAAAGACAACAGAAAAGCCTACAGGAACGTGATCAGGTGAGAATGCCAGGCATGCTGGGTGCTGCACATCTTGCCAGGGACTTTGCGTACCTCCCCGGAAAGGCTCCCGAGGTGGCAGATCCTCATACGTGACAGGAGACCCCACGGGCAAATACATTGCTTCTGCAGGAAAGGAAGGCAGAGTGGTGGTCTCTGACCTTTGTGCGGCCGGGTGATGGTGTGAGGAACAAGATGGTTCTTCCATTTTAAGTAAGGTGCTGTCGTTAAGACGGTGGAGGGACAGGTACCTCCAGAGGCAAACTGGCATCGTAGATCTCCTTAATTAGTGTGTGGAGCTGATGCTCTCTCTGCTGACTGCACTCCTCGGGGGGGTGTCTCAAGCGTATGAAGGTAGGGGGAAAGAATTCAGCCCTGTGAAAACAGCAGGGATCAGTGTGCCTGTAGCAGTTGCAGTGGCATACGATGTGTCGGAAGCAAACAGATGGGGTTCAAGGGCCATGGGCCACATGGAACAAACATAAAATGTGAATTTCTGAGAATTGAACTGAGCCAGGCTACGGGCGCTGGTTTTGTGGTCAAATACTAATACATAGCAGCTAATCTTTCCAGCCAAAACCAGTTGAAAAAATGTAAAAGCAGCTGCAGACTCAATATGACAGCCCTCCCTCAGCGGTCAGTGGAGACAGACCTGATGCTTAGGCTGAGATCAGACTCTGGCCCTCAAGGGCACATTTGCACATGCAATCAATATGTTCTTGTGCTCTTGCAGCGTGGAAGTGTCTCCTTGCTTGGAGCCCAGCTACTGCTTGCAAAAGACAAGGACAACGAAATTCAACCTGCATGAAACTGAAGATGTGGGGCTTGTGAAATTCATGCCCAAATCTCTGCTGCTGCCTATCAACACATTTGCAGGCGTCATCCAATGAAGAAAATGAGATAAAGCTGGTGTGAGAGATGTGACATTGCGTCATCACGGGGAGATGGAAAAAGAGAACATGCTACAAGCCACCAACAGTGATTTGGCAATGGTAATGGTGTAAAAAGGTGCAACAACAGAGGTGGATAGGGCTCAGGCAGGACAGCCGTGACCTGCTGAGTGACAGTGGTGACCACAGCTAACAGCCCTCTGCCAAGGGGAGGGAGTGGCTGAGGAACTGAGTTTTAACTTTTTGCACAAGTCAGGAAAAAGCTTTGAGCTTCTTCATTTCAGGAAGACTGTGGAAAATAGGGCTGAGGTGATGATTCTTGCTGTGCTTTTGCATCACATGGCAGTTGCTATCTGTAATATTTATGGCAGCGACATCTCACAGCCCGGCAGGGCGTCAGGCCTGTTGCGCAGCATTCGGCACAGCAAACCGTTCTGTCACAGGGTGATGTATTTCGGTCAACCGGCAATTATTCCTGGCTGATTTAGGAAACCTCATTGTAAGCCTGACCACAACTGGGAGAACAAGTGTGTTTAATGCGGCTTCTGTGGCAGTCAGTGGAGAACCCGCTGCTGTTGCAGGGGCCACACAGAGTAATGATGAGAGGTGTGAAACAAGGACCTGGGGAATCTGGTGCTATGTTTGGCAGTGATGAACGGGGAAGAACAACGCAGGCTGCCTGGGCAGTGTTGTGGAGTATGCTTGGCTGTGAATGGTATAGATCTGCTTGAAGAAGAAACCTACATGGAGCAGGTAATCGAGGCTGCACGAGAGCTCTTTGATGTCTGACCTGGACCTTTAAGTCCACCTGGGATTTCACTTTGGCTTCACTGCACAACCCCTCTGCATCTGGTCTGCAGCCTGATGAGTGCCAGTTGTGTTCCTCCAATTGTATGTCCTGGGAACAACCACCTACAACCCCAGCAGCAGCAGACCTCCTCTGTGAGGTCAGCCAGCAATATCTCTGCTTCCCAGCCTGCCTTGCACTCCTGGCTTGCTCTGTGTCTGCTCTGCTGGTAAGGGATGCAGAAGAGTGCTCCTGGGATTGATGGATGGGCCGGATGCCTGCAAGATTTGTCTGTTCCTTTCCTCTGCTGCTACCACGTTGTAGAAACCCTCCGCCGGTTTGCAGGTGGGCCCAGCTGAGCAGCAACAGCACAACTCTTTCTTCCACCCAGGCTCAGAGTAACCTGGTGTTAAGGATCATGTAGGAGGACCCTGTCTTCATTCCAGTGCGCAGCTGAATGAAGTAATGGAAGAACCACAGTGTGTATTTATTGACTTTCTGAACGTGATCTGTGGTTTCTAGAATGTGTCTGGGGAGTTTTCCCTAAATTCACGTTGGAGGGCATTTGGGGTTATTCCTTCTATGACACTATCTTTGCTAGTGGCACTGGCAAATCCCTATGTTAGCCCAGATGGCTGGGGACAAATCTGCCCCTCTGTGGTGTCTTTGCTGGGTCTGCCCAGTCCTGGGGAGCTCTGGAAAGTCACTTCTGTTTAACCACCCACATCTGGAACAAGGAGACCACATCCAGGTATCCCAGTCTGGGGTACTGGAGGGGAGTTTCACTCCCACAGAACTGCTCTGAGCTTGTGGGTTGTCTTGGCTTGTTAGGCCCCATGGAGATCTGCCTTGAATTTCTTGCCCCATGCACAAGGGCTTTGTGGGTTCAACCCTCAATTTCCCGGTCCTTCTCTGCCAGCAAACACAGGACTGATGTATTCCTGCCTCTGTCCTGCATTGGCACCTGGCACAGCAGGCATCGTTGCTTCCTGTTCCCAAGCTAAAGGTCTATTCACTCCCACTCTCAATGTACCATGCAGTCCAAAACAACCGCTGACGTGCACTGCTGGGGGCACAGCAGCTCTGGAGCTGTCGGACGGCGATGGGTTATTTGGCATTTGACATTTAATCCCAAACCAGCACCAACAGTTGAAAGATCATGTTGGGCGACAGCAACATGACCATTTCCTAAGGAAGCTACCTTGAAATGCTGGCAGATGCAGCCCTTCACTCCTGGCTGAGCCAAGCACAGTTCCCGAGCTTTTATGTCCCACCACAGGAATCACAAGGCTGCAAGATCCCAGCAACAGCATTTGGTTCTTCACTGTTGTTTTTCACCTCACAAGTCAAACATTGTTGATGTCCAGCAATTCCAGACTTGGGCAGCAAAGATTTTGGCCCTGAAGGAAGCTGAAGTTAGGCAGGAGGCTCAGAAACAAGTCAGGAAAGTCGCTTGCCCCAGCTGCTTTCCTCTGCGAGCTGCTGCATAGGGTGACACAGGGTTTGAGGGGTGACCAGCATCTCTGCACACCTCTGCCTCCTTGGTGCTTCATTGGTGGTTCAGGTACCCTGGCACGCAAGACAAATGCTCACAAAGCCAAGAGACTCTCTACTGGGTTGGAACGTGGTCTGTGGTGTCCAGAGTTTACTCTGTACAGGTGTTAATGATGTAGATGGATTTTAAGTTATTTGTATAGGTGTCAGAGACTATCTGTATCAGAAGATGCAATCCTTTTAATGCCAATTGAAAAAAATATTAGAAGACCAGCAGAAACTGTAAGTTTGGCTGTTTTTTTGTGTTTTCATGTGGCTGGGGTGGGTGGGAAATAAGGCGGTAGGAATAGAAAGACATCAGCATCGTTTGGTCCTCTATGGCTGATGTTTTCTCCTCCCCATCCTGGGGCTACATGTCATGTTACGCAGCAAGAGTCTTCATGGCAAAAGAGCTCTTTTGTGAAGGGATGGGCAGAAATGGCTGAATTGCAGAAATTTGGAAGCAGTAATCTATAACCCCATACTGGCTGCCCCTCAATGCCCCTCTGTGCTGGCTCACTCTGTCTCCACAACCTGTTCAGACCCTTCAGAGTCTGTCACTTCAAAGCACCCCATTACCTTAGCGGGGCCAGCACTTGGCCCGGCACACATGGGATTGGGGTGGGAAAAGGGTGAAATGCATCCAAGCATCCCCTAAAGCCTGCTGATCCTGCTGGCTGCAGGAGCTGCTCACTGACAGAGCAGAAACGGTTCATGAACTCGCGCTAATGAATCAGCACAGCTGTGAGAAAGGGGATTTCACAGGTTGTTTTATTTACCCGTGGACGTTGCGGGCAGATGATGCAGGTCACAGCGCAAGCACAGCACAGGGACAGTGTTCAGGCACACCCTGTATGCAGGAATCGCCAGTTTCAGAGCAGCATCATCTTCTGCATAGGGTCTGGGTGAAATGCCGAGTGGAACATGACAGATTGGCCTCAAGGATATGGTTGGGCATGATTTCTGGACACCAGGAGAGCACAGAAACCTGAGTGGAGGTTGCATTCATAAGTAACAGAGCCTGGGTGTAGGGTTTGCAGGCACAAATTCTCCTGGCACAGCTGTGTTAGGGGTTTTACATGGCAGGATTCCCACCTCCCTTCAGCTTATTGGCAAGATTCCCAGCCTTTCAAAGTCCCTCTTGAATACATTGGTTTGAGCCATTATATCACAATTGTCTTCGGTGCACCAAAATGCCCCCAGCTCTCTCTGCATGCCCAGTGTGAAGCTGAGCGGAGAGGCAGACAGCTCTGCAGTGGACAGTGGCTGGTGCCCAGCTGGCTTGGCCAGAGTCTGGGTCCATCCCTGCGTGGTGGCTTGCTGTGTCACCCCACGGGCCCAGCTGTATCATGCCAGGTCTGGGTCCAGGCGTGAGTCACTGCCGTCTCCTCCTCCTGCACAAACCCGGACCAGCCCGGATGGCACTCAGCGCTTGGGCACTTGCAGGTAGTTACGGCCATCCCTGACAGCCGCCTGCAAGCTCTGCGTTCTGAACAACCTCCTCCTTCCATCACCTCTCCCTAAATACCACCTAGGGCAACCTGAGAACACCCACTGGCTGTAAATTATTAAACCCTTTGTGAAAAAGAAGACTAATCATCTCTTTTCCAGGGAGCATTCTGTGCTGAAATTAAAACCTTCAGTGGCAGAACAAACTCAGCAATAAAAATCCTGGTATAGATCGTTTTTACATATGGAATGAAAATTCACGTCCCACCAGCTCTATGTGAAAACCTACGGACGGATCCAGGGAGAGGAGCACGCTAGTGGTTGATCAGCATGTCTTTGGCATACAACCTCCACAGCAGCACCACTGCAAGGTGCCAGGAATAAATCAGCTCTGGCAGCAGTGTCCACAGCCCCATCCATATTTCATATCCCACCAGTGTGATTTCAGTAGTTCTCTGCTCAGGCAGCTCTTCCCTTTTCTTGACTGAACTCACTGAGCCCTCCACAGGCACCCAGCATCCAGGCCACCCTGCCTGCCTTTGCTCCACGGCACTCGGAGGACAGGCCATGAAGTCGGATGAGAGCAGCCGTCAAACAGAACTGGGGAAAATCCCCTCTTAAAGGGATTTCAAAGCAAGGAAAATGTGATGTCCCCATGTCTTGCTTCTGGCTCATTGAGTCGAGGCTCTGTTGGTTTCTGTGCTGCACCGTGCTGTCGGTGTGTGTTCTCTGGGTGACCCTACGGGCTGAAAGGCACTTGTAACACCACGAACACACGACCCGGCACACAGAACAGCAGACTACCAAACGCTGTGGTAAAGCAGCGCCACGAACACATCACTCAGCGCATGGGAACAAAAATGAAGGCTGCTGAAGGAAGGGTATCCCCCATAACAAAGGATCATAGAATCATAGAATC